ATTGAAACATAAGAGGCTTTGCGCACTGCTTTTATTAAAAGGATCTGACATCTACCTGCCCTCTCAAATGGTTGTCAAGGTTGACACTTTCTGGCACGCAAAACAGCGTTACAAAAATAACCTTTTCTCCGAGGCTGGGAGGCGCTGCTGTAAATTGCTGTTGTTTACCTTTAAGGACTTTGCGAAAAGCTTTCGAAATGAAATATGCATTTTGAAGAACAAATCACAAACCTGTTTATTTCAGCTGTTGGATACTCTGCACACGGGCACTTTTCATTTGTCTGTTGTCATTAGTTTCTCCATGTGGCAATTTGTCGCAATGTCTTGTTTGCGTATCCATATTACAGCAGGACTCCCGAGTACAGCTGCAGCATGTCAGACTCGTCACCGTGTCCGCCTATGCTGGTCAGTTGGAGATCCCTCGATTTTGATCAAGTTATCATTTTCAATTTCTCCGCATGATTGGAATTGAAAGGGGAAAGAAGCTCAGCTTGTGCTGCTGTAAATATCTGGGCCCATTAATCCACCCTGGTGTCATCCCTCGCTAACAATTGCCCAATCATGTCTGGATATTCACGGGGATATTAAATGAAGAGTATTCTGTCCGCAGCAACTCGTGCTCATTGTTGATTAGATGGGAATGCGGGATGCTCACTGTTCATTATCCTCATTGACAAAATATATGGAGGGGGGAAAAAAAAAAAAACTCACCCAGGGTCAAAGGCATGCACCACTGAAAGGACCTCTTACTGTCTTTTGTTTTATTTTTCATCACACAAGAATGTCTGTTCAATTCATTCCTGAAAATAAAATAAAACAAGATAAAAATCTCGGACTGTCAGGAGCACACAACATTATTTATTGGTTTTAAGCGACTCCTCTCAAGAGACATGAGAACATTTCTGACTTGAGTGAGTACATTTCTAAATTGAGTGAAAATAATTATTGAGTGTATGTTCTGTCATTGTACAGCTAGTGTAAGATTGCTTCTGTACACCATGCAAACAGGTCAATGTGATCCACTGCATGTTGAAAAAAAAATTGGAAAAGGTTCAATACATTTTAAAATATCACTATATTTTTTTTTGGTGAAATTTGAAATGATATCTTCACAATTGTTATGAGTAATATTAATGTTTTTGCAAGTCCCCTCTTATTAATTTTCTCAAGAACCTTTTTAGCCATGTTTGACAATAGTTTGCAATAAAAATATTTTGGCAAATCACTCCCACTGCTTTGAATTGCTGCTTAAAAAGGACAATACTGCAGAGGACAAAAATTGTGTGTGTGTGTGTGCGTGTGTGTGTGTGTTTGAGAATTTATTGGTGTGATCAATACAGTCATTCCACATTTTGACGTGTTGCAAGATCCAAAATTGTGTTGTTATCTCGTCTTGACCAAGGAAGATTATTGTCCCCTGACCCCAACAAGAAAAATCATTTAAACCATCCTTTCTTATTTTAATTTGGGACGATATGATAACTAATCCCCTTGACTTTGGTTTTAGCTTCCATCTTGGGCCCTTGATTTGATTTTGGTCATTTGAGCTCTGGCAATTCTTTCAATCTCCTTCTGGACGGTAATATCAACTCTTAAGATGATGCTTTAATCCACATTAATCTCAGATTTTTTTCTTGAGAAAATGATGCCTGAGGGTGGGGCAGAGGCCAGAGCGGCGTATTGACATATGTATTTTTTGTTTTTTTTTGCAGTCAACTGCCACAGCGTGCAAAGTGCTCCTTGGAATAAAATACAATCATAACCAACCAACTGTTACACAATATTCTACTTGTGGTTTTAAATCCAGTCCGTGCACGCACTTAAAAACAACAACAACCGGGGCAAAAAAATTCTGTTGGCATTTCACCTTTATTCAAATGCTCTTGTTATCTATGCACTCTGCCTAGTGTCAGAAGCTCGACAAAAACACATCGGTAACTTCACATCATGGAGCAAGAACATTTGGAAAAGTGAATACAGATTACCATGCAGCACTTTTACAGGAAAGTAACGCTCACAGAAGTAAAATACAGAAACACACCACTTCCTGTTGGCCATTCGGAAAAACTTCCCATCCATTTTGAAAAGAAGGGCGCATAAAAAGGCTTGTAATGTACATTGACTAACCGAAAGGATGTACACTTACCAAAACAACAACAGCAACGACGACAAACAATTTGGTTGGAAATTAAGCAGAAAAAACAATGAGAACAGGTCGGTATCATAAAAGCAAATAAAATCTTATTTAACAAATGACAGGGATATGGCAGCGGTTTTCGCGAGAGACCAAAATCAGGTGATCTGTGTTGCTTTCAACAGCAAGAAAAATCTGACATTTTTAAAATGGGAATGCACAAACCTTTCTAATGAAACAGCTTTTGGCATTTAAATAAACTGATTTGAAGTTTGAATTAAATTACCATAAATGATCTGTACACAGTATTTCCCTTAACCAAATAATGTATAACTTTTATCTCTGTCAGAATGTAGCAAATTTAACTGCATGAGTCAATAAATTTGCTTCCATTTCTGAAAACAATTTCCTTGCTTAAATGGAACAAATGTCAACGTTTATACTATATTTCTATTCACAATTTGAGTTTAGCCCGCTATTACCAATTTAGTTGCCCACCTGAATTTTACCAAACACCACTATTATCAATCAAAGAATGACTTTGAGGTGTTATTCTGAGATAGTCGGTATTGAATAGAGTATGTCCCTGGCCCTTGGAATGTGAATAATAAGCAATTGTTCAACAAGAAATCAATTGGTTGTGTGGACCTGATTTATTGTGTCTTCAAGGAATTAAGGGAAGTTGTAGTGAACTACTTTGCTGCCACTCGTAGAGGTGCTGTTAAGTGAGTCTCCACTCTGAGCCCCAATTTCAATGAGGGTGAGAGTTGTGCAAAAAGGTAAATAAAAACAGAATAAAACAATTTGCAAATCCTTTTCAACTTATAGAATATGCTAAAAAGACAATCTATTTAATGTTCAAACCAACGCTGTTTTGCGAATTTTCTCTCATTTTGAACTTGATGCCTTCAGCACGTTCCAAAACAGCTGGGACAGGGGGAACAAAAGTCTAGGAAAATGTTAAAAAAAAAACAGTTTGGAGCATTTCACAGTTGAACAGGTTCAACATAAACATGTGACTGGCATGACTGGGTGTACAGTAAAAGGAGTATAGCTGAAAGGTGCCACAATTTATTGCATTTGTAAATGCAAGTTAAAATTCTACCATGCAGAGCGAAAGCCATATATCAACTGATGCAAAGTGCAAATGTGTGGTGTGGCCCGACGAGTGTACATCGACCACTTTGCGGTGACCGCAAGGTGCCTGTCGTGGCGGGAATCCCCAAACCAGCTGGTGGACACTGACGGTCAGGGACGCTCTCAATGTGAAGAAAGAGTCCTATCGGGTCTTTTTGGTCTGTAGGACGCCAGAGGCAGCTGACGGGTATCTGTTGGCTAAGCGGAATGCAGCTTCAGCAGTCGCTGAAGCAAAAACGGAGGAGTTTGGAGAGGTCATGGAAAACGACTTCCGAACGGCTTTGAGGAAATTCTGGTCCATCATCTGGCGCCTCAGGCAGCAGTGCACCATTAACACTGTGTATAGTGGAGATGGGGCGCTGCTGACCTTGACTCGGGACATGATGAGTAAGTGGGGAAAATACTTAGAAGACCTCCTCAATTCCACCGACACATTTTCCAATGAGGAAATATAGCCTGGAGACTCTGAGGTGGGTTCTCCTATCTCTGGGGCTGAAGTAACTGAGGTGGTCAAAAAGCTGCTTGGTGGCAAAGCCCCAGGTGTGGATGAGATCCGCCCCGAGTTCTTAAAGACTCTGGATGTTGTGGGGCTGTCCAGGTTCACATGCCTCTAAAACATCACATGGATTGGCAGACCGGGGTGGTGGTCCCTCTTTTCAAGAAGTGGGATCGGAGGGTGTGTTCCAACTGCAGAGGAATCACACTCCTCAACCTCCCTGGTAACATGTATTCGGGGGTGCTGGAGTGGAGGGTCCATCGGGAGGGTGAATCTCGGATTCAGGAGGAACAATGTGGTTTTCATCCCATCCGTGGAAAAGGAGAGTTTGTTTTGTGGACTTGGAGAAGGCGTTCGACTGTCTCCCTCGGGGTTTGGCATACCGAGCCCCCTGATATGGGCTGTGCGGTCCCTGTATCACCGATGTCAGAGTTTGGTCCGCATTGCTGGCAGTAAATCGGATTTGTATCCAGTGAGGGGTGGACTCCGCCAAGGCTGCCTTTTGTCACCGATTCTGTTCATAACCTTTCTAGACAGAATTTCTAGGTGCGGGCAAGGCAATGAGGGGGTCCGCTTTGGTGGCCTCAGTATTGCATTCTCTGCTTTTTGCAGATGATGTGAAACTGAAGGCTTCTTCAAGCCGTGATCTCCAACTCTCACTGGAGCAGTTTGGAGCCAAGTGTGAAGCGGTTGGGATGAAAATCAGCACTTCCAAATCTGAGACAATGGTCCTCAGTTGGAAAAGGGTGGAGTGCCCTCTCTGGGTCGGGGATGAGATCTTGCCCCAAGTGTCGGAGTTTAAGTATCTTGGGGTCTTGTTCACGAGTGAGGGCAGGAGGGAGCAGGAGATCAACAGGTAGACTCTGTATCGGTATGTTATGGTGAAGAAGGAGCTGAGCCGAAACACAAAGCTCGAGTTTCCTCCGCAGGGTGTCCGGGCTCTCCCTTAGAGATAAGGTGAGAAGCTCAATCATCCGGGAAGGGAGCCGCCTCCCCTCCACATCGAGAGGAGCCAGATGAGGTGGCTCGTGGCTCGGGCATCTGATTAGGATGCCTCCTGGATGCCATCATGGTCAGGTGTTTCGGGCATGTCCCACCGGTAGGAGGGCCCTGGGACGACCCAGGACACATTGGGGAGACTGTCTCCCGGCTAGCCTGGGAACACCTTGGGATCTCTCCGGAAGAGTTGGAAGATGTGGCTGGGGAGAGGGAAGTCTGGGCTTCCCCGCTAAAGCTGCTGCCTTCGCGACCCAACCTCGGATAAGCAGTAGAAAATGATATGTTATGGTCTGACGAGTCCACATTTCCACTTGGTTTTGGAAATCATGGATGTCATATTCTCCAGCCCAAAGAGGAAAAGGACCATTTGGATTGGGGTGTTGGTGCCCATGGCATGGGTAACTTGCACATCTGCGAAGGCACCAATAATGCTGAAATTGCAACTTATGCTGCAAGCAAAAGCAAAGTCTATTTCAGGGACCTCCCTGCTTATTTTAACAAGGCAATGCATGTGTTACAACAGCATGTCTTCATTGTAAAAGAGCAGTCCACACCTGTTTCTAATTGAAAATGTGCATTATGAAGCACATAATATGACAACGTACACCTTCGACTGACGAGCAACTTAAGTTTCAAATCAAGCAAGAATGGGAAAGAATTTCACCTCCAAAACTTGACCTTTTTGTAACAAAAGTATGATCAATTTAAACTTGTTTTTGGGGTGAATATAGGTTGAAAAGGATTTTCAAATCATTGTGTTCTGTTTTTGTTTGTTTTATACATACTGTCCCAACTTCAATAGAATTGCGGTTTGTATTTGGTGGTTTAAACTACACTAAGTTAAGCTGTGATAAACAAAACTAAACAGCATCAGTTCTGTCAACATGAGCAACATCCGCAGACCTCCACAATGACAATGCATCGAAACATTAAGTAGTTGAATAATGAATTGATCATTTTTCTGTTGCCAATCAAGGAGCTTGAATCAAATGCCTTTCCCTAACCTGGGCACTGCCACCTACCAGATTACAGCCTCTCTCATCTACCATCATGAGATCTGTTATGTCATCATGTCATCACTATACTGAAACACAGTGTGTCTTTGATTCATGTATGTTTGCAGCATGTTTCACAGTTATTCTATGCTTGTTATGGAAAACCACGACAAAAGGACTGGTTGTGGAAGTTCGTGTAGAGAACAGTCTCATGTACAGTACCATACATTTGTCGCGGCCAATGTGGTACAGCCTGGGACTTTAGTGCCAGGCTGCTTGCTGGCTGATTGAAGAGGAAGCTTAAGAGACGACATACAGTAAGTGAATGAGGCTTGTGTCAGGAGTGAAGACATTTTGGTATGTTTTGATAAAATGGCCAACAACATGAAATACATCATACACTGTTCTTTTGCGCTGATAAAGTCTGTGGATTTGTAAGAATAAAAAGACAAGTGATATAATTCTCACTTCCTCCCTTAAGGAATATAACATGCAGTAGCTGCCTTCACTGCTTAGTCTCCAGTATTGGGGGGGAAAAAAAAGTCATAACATATTGCATGAGAACATTTGGAAGTTAAGTAGAGAAAACAAGAACTAAACGAGAATTTCAAATACGTTCTGCAGATTTGATGTTAAATTATTATGAGTATCCATTTTTACCAGTGCCATTTTCAGTGAAGCGAGAACAATATTAATCAGTGACAATTTAATAACAGTTTGGATTTTTGACACTGACACAATACTTCAATACACTTGAATACAACAGAGTCTTTGCCAGTCGGCCTTTTGCTGCTGACATGTACGTTTGACTACTATTTTTTCTTCACTGCTGTATTAATATTATGTTGTGGTGAATTCAATCTTAAGCCTAGGCAAGGACTTGAATAATTGGCCTACATCTCGCAAGTGTTTCACACACGGTGCATTTTATTTGTATCAATTCTGACTTAAACAATAAACTCTTACATGAACAAAGAACAAAAACCACGAACAGCAAGTGATGTTAATCATTGGGCCAGTCGCTTTTGACCGCAGGAAGGCTGTGTGTGTTTTTAGGCAGCATATTGCTGAACCTGCTGTGACATTTTTTTGTTGCCATCTCGATTTAGTTATCGCTGGTCTCTTCGTCACTGTCCTTCATCGAAATGCCTTGCATCCCTCCTTCCCTCACTGACGCGGTGGCTTCTTCTAAGGTCAGACGATTTCGAACAGTCTCATACATCTTACTGTTTAATGTGGAGTCCAGGACCCCTTGAAGGCGGAAGTCACGGTACTTTTTCTAAAAATCAAACACACGAGAAACAGTGTTACATGCATTTTAAACAGGACATACAGGACTGCACATGTTTATAATTGGGCGTTCTTAGGTTGATGTATTTATTTCAAGACACAACATCAAGTCCACTTTTTCTCTGAGGGTCAGGATGCCGGCTGCAGAGCTGAGAAAAAATACCACTCCAGCAGCCACAAATGGAGACTGTGAGGTGGCTTTTAGAAAGAATGGATTTGTCATGGTTTTACTCTCAGACCTGTTAACGTTTTTTTGTTTTTCTTTTTCCCATTTCAGTGCCTAAGTTGAGTCGGGGGCGTTCCCCTAGCGCCTTGCCAACGGCGCATTGCAATCACGGGAATCTAAAAGGACTTTGACAACAGCAAGCCATTGTTGCTCACTACTTTGGAAACTAGTGTTCGATTTTCTAGACTCTTACGCTTATGTTTCATAGCTCTCTAGTCATCGTGTTTTAACTTCACATACACGTATTGTTTTCCGTTCACGCTCGGTGTCGTGTATTTTGATATCCTTGCCATTTGCAAGCGTTTTGTGTTGATTTTGTTTTTATCCTGGCTCTTTGTAGCCAGAGGCTTTTGTTGTACTTTGTCGCTATTAATTTTATGTAATAAATCTCATTTGTCAGCTTAACCTTGTCTACGTTTGTGGGATCCCTTTTTCACCGGTTCTCACCGGAACCTGACAGAATCTGCCATGTCTGCATTCACTTCGAGAGGAGCCAATCTGTGGAACTTTTCCCTGGCTAATTAAAATCTTTGGTAAGATTAGGCTTGTTTAAAAAGCGCACAAAATTATGGATGAGCCAGAAGCAGCAGTACACTCAGGTTTAAGGCTACATGCGTTTCTTCATTTTGTTTTTATCCTTGCTTTTTATTCAACTCAATTGTATTTATAGAGCACTTTAAAACAACCACTGTTGTGTTACAGTTTGTTTTTGTATCTGTCCCTATCAAATAAACCCATCCATCCATTGTCCAGTCTGCTTAACCTCACAAGTGTCAGGGGCGTGCTGGATCAAGGTGCAGGCGGACAGATACGCACCCTCTGCGGACTTGTGTAGTGGATGTCATCATAGAGGCATTCCATTCAGAAATATAGTCACACTGGGAATTGAATCCTCTGAATCATTATGAAAATCAATTCAGTGAACGCATTATTGTTTTTAACATCGTTGTATATTTTTTTAAATCATCCCACTGGCCAGCATGCACTCTTACATACACTACCTGTCAGGGGTGAGATAACTAGCCTAAAATATGTCATAGGAGAGGACATATTTGAATAAAGAAGTCAACCCCAAAATAGTCTAAACACAGCATTTTGATTAAAATTGCATTTGTTAAATATGAATTAAGCAGCAAATTCCAACCGCTTTTATCCATGCCAGGGGGCGGCCATTTTGCCACTTGCTGTCGATTGAAAATGACATCACAGTATTTAATGGCTCAGGTAACGACCACTCATGCCTCACCTGCTTTCTGAGTTTGGTCATATGACGTTGGCGAGCAGAGCTGTGATTTGTTGTTTTCTGAGCCCTGAGCAAATGTGATGTCATTTTCAGTCAACAGCCAAGTGGCAAAATGGCTGCCCCCTGAGACTGCTAAAAACGGGTGGATTTTGCTCCTGAATTCATATTCCACAAAGGCAATCTTAATCAGGGTGCCGTGTTTAGACAAGTGGGGGCTGCACAGAATATATTATTGTGATGACATTTTTGGGGCTAGCTTCTTTCTCCTGATGTTGTCGGCAGTGACAATGCTCTGGTCACGCACAGATCATTGCGTTGTTGTGCACAACAGACGTCTCTCGTCAAGACTGTCATTGGACCTGGTTTAATGGGAAAGAGAGGAGACGCTTTGATTGTGTTCATGCTGTGCCAGCTGACACGCATCTGTTAAATTACCAACACTTGGTCTATCTAACCCGCCTCCGAGCAGTGTCGGACTTGTGCCGGTCACGAGAAGAGCCCTGAGTCTCTGTTCTGATCAAGGTTTCTTCCTCAGGAATTTTTTCATTTCGTCTGCCACCATTGCGCTTGTTCACGCAAGGGTAAACAATTCGTTTCCTTTAATGTGTGAGGCGGAAGACCTGCTCCAAATGTGCCTGCTGTGTAGTGGTACAACATAAAGTTGACTTAACTTTAAACAGTAAACAGTCTCTCAGATGAATAAGGGTGCAGAGACTTCTTCCTTGCTCTTTTCTGGTAATGAGGATTCGAGCAGTGCCCGCTCGCCATTTTTTGTTGGCATTGTTCCAGCATGATCAGGAATTACAAGTTCCATCCAGTCCAGCCTCGTGTCTTGCTGTTTCACTGTTTTTTCTTTATAACAGCCCCTTTTTATTTTATTTTTTGTCTTAAATTACTGTTTGACTTGGCAATCACTTGTAGTATACAATAATTGATTTGTCCAAATAGTCCTGACTTCCTTTGCAGTTTACTGGAAGAACGCCCTTCGTTACATAACTTTGTTGTTGCAGAGAGAAAGGGTTAAGAAAGCAGTCTTGGAACCTGTCTGTCAGTATACCTTGATAATTAGGCGGGGCACAGTTTGCAGCTATCTTAATCGTAGTAGCACCATTTATCGACAAAGCCTCCCAATGCAGGCAATCAGACTCATTTTACACATCGTTAAATGTTGCAGTGAGGCCAATAGATTCAAATGAACAAAGCCTCATACACCTTCAACAGACGTTGATATTCATTTATTGGAAACTTCCTTTATTAAGTTGACTGAAAATGGAGTTGTCACCTTAACAATTCTGATGAGAATCTTCAACTGATAGACATGCAGTTGCAGGTCCATGCGGTCCGTCAGCCATGTTCCGATGAGGTTCATTGTACTGGTATACCATTGCTGAAAAAGAGCAGTACGAGTGGATGAGTGAAGCAGAAGCAGGAAGGAACTGGCAAACACATCTTTATTTGCATAGAGGGTGCTCTCATCCAATTCAACAACACCCATACAACTTAGCACTGGACCCTGATTTAGAAAAAAAAAAAAAAAATACAGTGTCTTTTCCTCTCAAACATCGGCCCCATCGGCACAGGCTGCTATTTAAGTGTTTACTCCAGGAAGAAGCAGCTGGCAATGAGGCATCACTTAATATGATCCTAATAAAGAGGAATGACCATGACACTCTTGGCACAAAACAGAAAGTCCTGTGAATGACAGACCTACAGGCACTTGTCGAAGGCCGTGAAACATTTCGTTGTAGTTTCCCTGTAGCATGTTTAAGTTCTGTTGACTTTGCTGTTTCTGTTCAAAAGAAAACTACCACCACAGTACACTATTGGAGCAAGGACAAAGTAATATTGGGATACTTATGTTTGATAAAACAAACAATAATTGAGATTTCAATATTTTTCTGTCCAACAAAACCACGGAATGCACTTGGGGGGGTTGACCGTGATGCAGATAATGACTGGTACCAAAAGATCACTTACTAACACGACAAACATTTTATTGACATTGCTAGTATCCTTCATACAGGTGCATGTTTCAACCTTGAGATGCTGTCATGACTCAATTTAGACCAGTCTCCCCTACATCAGTACCTACAAGGCACACTGCACGCAGGAGCCCAAAGCTTTCATATGTCCCTCTGTGGGGCCCGGCTGTTGTCATGTGTAAATGATGGAGAATAATGAGCACAGGCTGATACTAATGGAAGGTGACTGACTTCAACTGTCAGGGTCACAGAAAAGTGGATGCACGGCGAATCGACTTGGAAGAAATTGAGTTGGATAAAGAGGTGCCAGATGCTAAGTGATACTTTCTGAGTTGGAAAAGACAAATGATTCCTATTTAACATCTCCTGTTAGCCCATATCGCATCAATACCACTGCAGCTGATATTTTTTGGCCTTTGATGTTAATTTTCAGGATCAAATTCATCACCATTAAGCTGCACTTTCGAAAGGCCTGGATTCTGTAAATAAGATTGATTGTTCAAGTTCAAATGTCCCAAATGTTGGAGTTTTGTGACACCATATCTGAAAGGATGGCCAAGTGAAGAGAAGAGGAATATCAGAATACTGACAGTGGGGGGGGAAGACACACAACAACGGAGGCTCGTAAGTGTTTCATTGCCATGTTTAGGTGGTGATGATCATCAGTAGCTCATCAGTTTGGATTAACTGCTGAACTCCACCCCAGGAAAAGATGAGTAAGACTACAGAATGAGCAACACATAAACGCACATCTCACTAAATTAGATCATTAAACAAATGGGAAAACACTTTTCTGTCGATAAATTACGACTAAGTTTCTAACGTAAAAATGTCACTTTGATCATTTCTTATGTAATATTTAAATTTGGATGATGACAAGAAGGTGAATTCGGGCTTTCACAAGCTGTTAGCATCACAATTATTATTTTTTTTAAATCGAAATATTTAACTCTGTATAGTGAAACCATATCAGTTACACGTTTTTGAATTGAACTTGAATTGAACTGAAATTTAGATGGCATGACATTGTAATTTATTGGAATGCCCTTTGAAACGGACTTAGTTTGAAAAACAACAGCCACCATCAGCAGAGTGGAACAAAATTCTTGAGCACTTGTGCCCGACCAACAACAAAACAAGCTCAAAAGCACACCACAATCGCAGCCATGACAGCTGAAGATGAAGGGATCAGGTCAGCGAGTGGAACACGGGTGAGGAGAAGATGGCTGCGGCCATGCAGTACTGGGGTGAATCAGAGCGGCGACCTGGTGCCAGCAGCAGCCTATCTGTCGCTGTGTGCCTGTGAAGGCTTCAGCGTGGCAGCAGGCCTGTGATCTCGCCCCAAGCATAACCCCCCACTGGGAGGCCAGGCTTGGAGTGACTGGCTGCTCTCCCTCCTTCCCTCATCCACTCCTTCACTTCTTGTCGTTCTTTAGACTTTTTAGACATGGTGCCACGCAGCACCCATCAACTGCCATTTTTCACAGCAGCCATTTTGTGTCCTCTTCTGCTTTGCTCCTACTCATTTTATGTCAAAAGAGGCTTGACAGTTATGTCGCAAGTTTTCTTGCTGCCATGGCATTTGGGGGGGGGTCTGTCAAGGACATCTTGTCTACACATAATGCCTGTTATTCTCATCAAGTTTTAGATCCCTTTTGGGCCAATGTGAGTGTTCTACTCATTTGAAGACATTTAAAACAGTGAATGTTGATCCAGGAATTGTCATCAATGTCTCGACAGCATCAGGGCATGACTTTGATTCATTTTACAGGGCTTTTGCTCGTACTATAACGTGTTGGCTATAAACTATACAACACATAGTCTTTTTTTTTTTTTAAATTTATCGTATTTTCCGCACGATAAGGCGCTTCAGCGTATGAGGTGCACCTTCAATGTATGGTCTATTTTAAAACTGTTTTCATATACTTTCCGCACCACATTACAAGGCGCATAGAATAGAAGCCACAATAATGGCTGCGGTTGCATTATGCATCCACGAGATGGAGCTAAGCTAAAGACAATACAATACAATACAATACAATACAGCTTTATTTATACTGTTTCGAGCATCAACAACCGCTGCAGCTGTAACAAAGCGCTTGACAGAACATTTAAAATACTACATCCAATAAATCAGAATAGTGATCCATATATAAGGCACATTGGATTACAGTGAAACTCCTCTAGAACGAAACCTACATGGGCGAAAATAAACCCTAATGTGAAAAAATCTTCATGCATTAACACCATTCCCATTCTCCTGCACCCCATACGACGAAAAAAAACCCTGTTGCGTTATACGAAATCATTTTATCTGCTCCAGCCTCGCGAAGACATTCACGACAACGAAGTCTAATCCAACAGCGACCTCTACTGCTTCGTTCGGAAACGGCAACAGCAACCACCACACTGGTTTACATAGTGAACGATGTTTATTTCGGTCACAGCTGCGAGTTTCCTGAACGCAACATACTCATAGCTGCTCTGCCATTGGCTTACCGAGCATCATCCTG